TTCCATAGTTATTCCTAAACTGACGTCGTGTAGCAACGCCGCAGCCTGAAACAAGCTTAAAATTAATAATTTCCATCATACTTGTTTACATCGAAACGAAAAATGACGTTTAACGTTTTTTCATCATATAAATCAATTTTTCGCGTCACTAGCGTGAAAAGAAGTGTTCGCCCCCCCTCGTTCCCTCTAATAAATGTGCATACTTGAAGAGATTATTTTTCCAAACATAGCCTTCCCCTGTTCCTATTTTTAACTCTTAACGGAAGGCAATTAGGGTGAAACTAGGGCAAAGTTTTAGGTAGTACCATGTTGAGCAGCGTGAGCGCGTAATTCTCGACGTCGAAATCCTTGTGATAATCGAGAACGGTCTTGTCGAGTACCAGCAACAGTTCCATCGTGTACAAATTGGCCTGGTTCTTAGGTGGGTGGCGTTTCTGCGAACTGAAAGCGCGCTTGGCAATGGTTTTGGCCATATTGCCGGTGACATTACAGAGAATCTCGGCGTTCCTCCCGAATTCGTCCGGCCTCTTTTTGTAGACGACATGCGGGTGCTCCGTTTCTTTGGTAAAGTCGTGACCCGCCACCGGCTCGATCGTGTACCACGATCGTTTCGTTCTAATAAATCCGGCCTGGAGATGAGAACACCGAGATTCCTTCCAGTCAGATTTATCTTTACGCCACGATATTTCGAGTTCGAGTCGTTTGAAAGCTTTATCCGCAAGCACGCCGCAATTACTCCCCCTTAATCGATTTAAAAAAAACATTTTATATATATATATCTTTAACCACCATGCATCTCTGCTCAATTCGTTTTCTTTCTTTCCTTTTTTTTTTTTTTTTTTTTTTTTACAGCCCCTATTCTAGACTAGAATTTTTTTTTTTTTTTTTTTTTTCCAAGTTTTTCTCCCAAATTCGATCATAAATTCCCCCATTTCGTCAATCAATCGTTCATTATATGTAAATTGATTTAATAAATTTTTGAATTTATTTATTTATTTGTTTGTTTATTTTTTTCCAGGTTTCAAACGACTGGTCGATTAAAAAAAGTTGGGCTAACTGACTAACCAAGCCGTAACAAGTGGACAGGGCGCTGTCCCCCGAATGACCGTGGACGCGGCCGAGATAGTGACACTGCGCGTCGTGCATCCCTTTCAACTTCGCATCCCTCAAGAAATTATCGTTGCTCCCACTTTCCGTAGACCTCCGATGTTCCTCGATAACAGCGCCTGTGAACGTGACGAAACATTCATTCCATTTCTCCTTAACCTCGGTTCGAAGTTCAAATTCCGAATTTTTCGAAAGTTTTTCGAAATTCAAATTTCGAAAAAAAGTTGCTCGAATGCAGACGAAAAGTGGATCGAGGCGAAAGAAGAAGAAAAAGAAGAAGAGAAGAGAATATATATTTTTTTTTTTTTTTTACTACTGAAATTAATACAAACACACACGTGTTATCTTAATTTTCAACTCGCCTGGGGCAACGAGGCGGGGATTCGGCCGTAGCTCGAGATGATAATCCTCCTCGCCGATTTTCAAACGGTAGTGAACAGCATCGTCCTCGATCCTGCCCCCTCGATCCGTCGTGGCGTAGAGGGAACGCTTGAAGTGATGAGGTATTTGATGCGACACGAACTTTCCATCCGATCCGACTTTCCTAGGCACCACGATCTCGTATCCCGTGTCACGCCCTTGAAAAATCAAGTCGTCGTTATAGTTGTAGAAAGTTGTAGAGAGAGAGAGAGGATTCGATTATTCTTCATCAATTTTGCAGAGGGGAACAGTGTAGATTTAGAGTTTCACCCCACCATTCTATATTTTGTTAAGATCAGAGATAGTATGTTCTTATTTTATAATAGCAGAGAAATGGAATAAATAATTATTGGTGAAATTTGGGAGGAATGTTGTTTTATAGGATGGATTGGAAATTGAATATGTTTTTTGAAGATTATTGTAGGTTTGATGATTTTTAGTTTGAAGAGAAATATGAAATAAAGAATTATTGTGTGAAATTTAGGAGGAATGTTGTTCTATAGAATGGGAATTGAATATATTTTTTGAA